CGATGACAACCTTTGATCCCTCCCTTTCCTCGACGTGTCCCGCCTCCTCTCGTCGCTGCCGCGCGCGCGATCAACGCCGTGAGCCCGCCGCCGTCGTGACCTATGATCGCTGATGTCCGCGATGCACGCATTTCCTTTTGTCATCGCTCAACGCAACCGCATCCCGCCTTCCTGCCCTCTCTCCTGCTCGCCCCGCCTGCCCGCGTCCCGCCTGCCCGCCACCCTCTCCGTCAGCACCCCGCCCCCGCGTTGCGGCCCGCACGTTGCGACCAACAGTTCCAAACTTTGAAACGAAATTTGTCAGCAGCGCCCCGACGCGCGCCTTCCCTCTCGTCCGCGTGCGCCCTCACGCCGCTACCACGCGGGATGTCGACTCGGGATCAGGGCTGCTGGCAGACACCGTATTAGACGGCCGCCGTACCGCTTCGAGGGCGACGACGACCTCTTGGATCATCTCAAAAGCGCAAAAGATCGATTGGATTACATACCTCTACTACGCGAACAAGACCTCAGGCTCAACCTCCGCAACTGTCTTCATTGCAGCAAAAAGGCAGAAAGACTTTGCTGCCCGCTATCGCGTTCAGGATCGCGCAGTCAAGTTGCATAATACTCGCGCGAAGATTTGTGATCTAATCGAGGAGTTCCCCAACCTTTTCTGTCTCGCGCGCAATATTGCCCGTACGTGATCGTCTAATTCTTTTGGCGCTGGTTCGGCTCCACATCTACACAAGTTCTGCCGTTGCCCCTTGAGCGCATCTTCTCCGGTGGCCGCGACACCATTTCTCTTCGCCGAGCCAGCTTGAAACCGGAGACGATCCGGATTTTGATGATCGTGAAGCAGCGCCTCCGTCTTGCACGTTTGGCCGTTGAGGAGATGACTCGTGGAATGTAGCGCCGTATACGGCCGCTTTTGACCGGTACTCTCTTTATTTACGCGCAATTACAAAACACTACTCTTCATCGTACAGTCCCCATGTCCAAGATTGACCATACTGCTTTGGCGGGTGCATCTGAATAAAGGCCGTCACGTATTCAGGAACCACGTCAGACCCCGTAAGAATGTACAAGATCGGGAGAATAGGTGGATGCGGGCAGGGGCAGAGGCCCTCCATCCAAACTCCATCCCAATCAGGCAGATTAGCGCAAATGTGCTGGCATAATCTTCAAAGAGGCGAGTTTTTAGAGAAGGGCAATGAAACAAGACCGAGCGCTTGGCTGCCTGGCTCGCGGACACTCCTACCGTGTCCCAAACTTAGTCGAGGAATATGCCCGGCCCAAACTGTGGACCAATCAGGCAAAATCTAGATCATGTATGCAAAACGTACATGGTCATAGAGCAAGGCAAGGTTCTTGCGCCCCCTGATGGCATTTGCATGGTCTTTTTTGAATTTTTTAAACGCGCTATCAATGTCGTCTTGAATGTCCGCCTTTTGTTGGGATCCAGCGGGCGCCGACCATGTTGTCGATGCAAATTGTCAAAGTCAAAGCGAACTTGAAGCGGCTTGCAGGTATAAAGATTTCCATTTCTTGTCATCATCTCTGGCCGTCCACGTCCAGATGAATTTGAGGATTCAGGACGAGACGAAGAAGAGACATGGGAGAGCCCGGAGTTGAAGGAGTCTATGGCGCGAGCGAGAGCGCGTCTGTTGGGGCTGAGGCGCGCTGGTTGACCTTTCATTCCGTTCGCTTATGATTACAATTTACTTTTATTACCTCCGCGCTCACTCTCTTATTCCTCATTGGTAGGATTATTTACTCTGGGGCATAAGTAGCTACTTGTATTTGAATAACTGCTAAGACCGCTCGCAAGCGACACCGCGCAACAGCTGTCATTTAGACGCTGTAGAGGGCTGTGTTCGCCATGCACCACTCCTCTCTCTTCTGCCACATCCTTCCTCGTTGTTTTCTGGCGCGTGACAAGCATGTCCGAGATTCCAACAAAAATCTGGCTCTATATTGCCTCTTTCATCCCCAACGATGAAATATTGGGGTTTATGGGAGTGAACATTCACTTTTACAACCTCGCTCTAGAAATCCGGTACAGCACAATACGTATCGAATCAGTGAATCTATACACAGAGAAACTCCTCCACCGGCTGAGGTGCATATCTATCTATTTCCCCGTTGTCTATGCGCCTGAGTCCCGGTGTCAAGAGACCCTGCAGTTGCAAGCCGTGTCCGACGGTTAGTCGTTCGGCCGGTCATCAATCTTCACAAACCAGAGCCATCTGCAGTAGTGCCCGCTACGTTTTGGCAGAGAATCACCTCAGGCTTTGCTATGGGGCGGAAACAGCCCTCCATTGGCCACATTATCGATTCTTTGGTTCAAGTCTTCCCTGGCCTCACCAATCTGACACGCTTCGAGGTCGAAGCATGGGATTTCGACTACGATTTACAGAGTTTCTTTCGCAGTGCATGGTCTTCAGTTGGGCGGCAGCTAGAAACCATCTCTATGGCCGGACGTCCTGAGGTAAATAAATGCTATTTTTTTTCTTTTCTTTTCTTTTCTTGTACTAATTCGTCCAGAACTTCCGTCAATTCATACGCTCCGATCCCCAACCTGTCTCTTGCACGGCCTTAAGTCTGCAGTTTATCATGTACTCGATCCGATGGCAGTGGCTGCTGTGGACGAAATCGCTCCGTTCATCAACAGCCTATCGCCTCAGCTTCAGTCTCTGAAGATCTGGTCTTGGTCGACTCTAGACCTATCGCTCTTGTTCCTCAACCTCGGTCACTTCCCTCAACTCCATCATTTCCTTCTCCGTGCCCCGTTTAACAAGGCCTTTTCCGACCCGACGGGCCTGACCACAATACTTGAAGCTAATTCGGCCACCCTAGATACCATTGAACTCCGCCTGAATCCCGCTGGCAGTGCCATGAATCCCAACTCTGAGCAGTTATTAGGCAAATGGCTCTCATCGCATCGGTTGAACCCTTCGGTCCTCGCCAACCTGAAGCTTCTGAGAATGTACCCGACAACCCTCAGCAGTGGATTCGACGCACTCGTCATGTACATGGAACGTTCCGCTAATACTCTGACAACTCTCGCTGTTCAAGATAGGTATCTTGACCTTGATGAAGTCGAGGCCTTGATTGCTCCTGTTTCCCATCGAGGGGCGGACGACGGTCTCGAGCCCTACGTCTCAATGTCCGTGTGTGGAACACAGAGCTTTTGACCTCTTGGCGTTGAAATTACCCGGACTGAAGAGCCTCTCGATGTATGTTGGTGGATCACAGCCCCACCGTGCGGCACAGAAGTGAGTCTTCATCTGCATATCCATCGTTGAATCGCTGAAACAAGTTTCCGCCAGCTGTTCTTACCGAAATGCAGACTCACTCTTACAAATCGTGGAAACTCCGTGATATCGGAATTTGGCAGGGAGGCTCAGAGGTGCCGTCTGGACCATGCGTCACCTGGCCAACTGCATCCCCTCCATTCGAAGTTTCTGGGGGAATGGACATATGCTCGGCGAGAGCAAAATTTATGAATGAAGTGTGTAGGCTGGACCTTACACTCGCTCTGCTATTTACAGTTCCAATACGACCATGTAGCCCAAGGATGCAAAGGACGATTTTTTGAAGCTCGAAATTTCAGTTTCAAAGCCCATGTCATGACAATTTTTAGGTCGATCACGTACTTGATAAGAAACGCTTTGACCGATTTGGTCACGCTCTCGTGAGTCACACTGATTCAATCTACTCATTGTGAAGGTTTGGACCGATTTTCTGGTCTACGATCCCACCCCAGTCCCTCAAATGTTCAAGCATTATAAGGAGATGGATATCAATGTTTCCAGTATTAACGGGTCTTTAAATCAAATATACAGATTGGCACAAATTCAACACAGATTCGCACCATTTAATTTTTCCCTTGCGCTTGCACCAATGCAAAAACTTATGTTCGACCAAGAGCCTTAACTGGGTACTTAGAGCCAAAGGTGGACAGACTGTTCTTTCAGCTGCTCCATACAAACTAGCACGTTCGTTCGTGTAAGTAGCCTGATGAGTTCAAGATGAACCAAAGATGAACCAAAGCGGAGCAAGCCGAATCTACTGCCAGTGTTCGGTCATAGCATGCGAGGCATTCCTCCGGCGTTTGAATAGTGCAGAAAGCTTCAAGTCTTTTCGTACTCCAGAAAAAAGGTGGCTGTTGACGAATTCGGTTGGTGTCGATGTTTTTGAAGCGTGGTAAGCGGCTGAGGAGAGAACTCCTGTTTGGCCGTGTTTTCACTTGGTTGAAACTCTCACCAAATCCGCACGACCCTATACGCCATGATTCATGAATAGCAAAGAAAGAATCTGGATACAGTTGTACAACTTGAATAGCAAAGAAAAATGACCCTCTGCAACTAGAGAAGATCTTTCACCACTAGATGTCCATGCGTCCATTGGCATGGCGCAGATGGAGGAAATGCACGGTCTCAAAGCGGTGGCTGTGTATCAAAGAAAGAATCTGGATCCAGTTGTACAATTTGAATAGCAAAGAAAAATGACCCTCTGCAGCTAGAGAAGATGTCCATGCGTCCATTGGTATGGCGCAGATGGAAACACGCGTGCACAAGCGGTGGCTGGAGGAAATGCGCGGTCTCAAAGCGGTGGCTGTGTATCAACACTGACAAACAACCGCTACGGTCCCAATATGGCAATTGTGCTTGTTCGCCTTTGTTTGCCCCCAGTTAGGGCTGCTAACTGGCCAGATACACAAGTAGAGACACGTTACATCGTATAGCTTATGCTGCGGCAAAAAAATACGTTAAAACACTGGTAACAGAAAAATTGGCGTATCTCCGGTTTCTAGGCATATTCGATTAATTCTGGCATCTAGGGCCTGGCAACGTAGATGATGGCGCAGATGGAAGCACGCGGGGCCATGCACACAAAGCCCGCGCGACCTTATACGCCATGGTTCATGAATAGCAAAGAAAGAATCTCACTTTGCAATTTCTTCACTAGAAAAGATCTCTTTAACGACATATACTCCTCCCTGGCGTCCTAATCACAGCAGCATGGCGCAGATGGAAGCGCGCGGGGCCCATATTATTACGTAATAGCTGCGTAATCATGATACCCCGAGGTCACTCGATCGAAACGAGTTGCTGCTATAACCTTTTGTTGAGCATGGATTTATTTTTCAAATTTGCCTTTTTTTTTGTTTTCCGTGACTTTCTTTTTTGGCAGTGTCTGGAACTGACGTGTGACAAGACTGAACTGAGTGCCGCCGGACAGCCCATGCATACAGCAGTTGACTGGTTCATCATTTATCTGGATTTGGTGTCCATATTGTAGTACAAACACCTCTACAGCCAGAATTCGAAGCAATCAACTGTAGTTGCTATTGTAACTTCAAGATTTCACACTAGTAATAGGGGTACACACGAAGAGTTTATCCTCCACAGTTCGAAATGTGGCACGCTGGACTATCGCTTACGGCCAAATACATCATATCACAGTTTAGCGCTCTACCTTCTGGGTCCCGAAAATCAACTGAAGAAACATCCCTCAATCTGATCTCTTGTGCTGCGGGAGGGGGGGCAAGGTTTTGGAAAATGTGGCTGAGACCGAACCCTATCCGGATTCAAATTTCGATTGAGTATGAGCTTTGTCAGTTGTGCATCAATTTCTAGTTTCTGTAATGTATCGCGTCACCTACCGAAGAAGTTCTTCCAGTCAGACTATATAAGAACTAAGATCCAGCGAATGAAGGAACCAAAATGGAACCTGCATTTCGACATATCTACTCCTCATCCATAGATTCTGGGTCCACAACAGCCCCCTTGTAGGCGGGTTTCGGCCTCGGACGTAATTGTTTCGCCAGACCCTGGCCCGACACTCCCCCGCCTTGGAATTCGCTTCGTCCTCAGAGACCACCTTCCGAGAATTGCCGTTTTTTGCACCACGCCCACGCCCGCGGGCAGTGCCGCGTTTAGGGGCTGCACTCGTCTTGGATTTTCCTGCCTTGGCCTTTTCTTGCTGGGGGCGTTATCGTCATCCTCCGACTGAGAATTTCCACTTGGGGCTCGCGGCTGGTGATTTAGAACCGTGTTTCCGTTTCTTCCGGTAATCGGATACGACTTGCTGCAAACGTTTGCTCGCATATGCTTGACGTTTGCGAGGAGCCACAATCCCACTTCCAGAGATATCAAAGAAACCATTGAGGTCCCCCTGCTTATTCAAGGCACCACTCTAAGAAGGCGTCAGCCGCACCGCATGGTATATTCATGAGAATAGCTTACCTGTCCGCGCTTGCGGATTTTTTGAATAATGGGTAACAAAAGCTCATCTACTTTTCCAGGGGACCAACTGAGCTCAGCGTAGAGAAACCTGCCAGCGAGTTAGATATCGTGAATGCACAAGCACACCGTAACATACTCTCTGAGAGCATCGAGGTCAGGCAAACCCCACTTAAAAGGCTCTTCCGACGAATCAACGGTGGGATGATAATACGCGTCCCTCTGGAACAATATTAGGCGACCGGCATGCATAAAAAGTAGAACAACGGACGACGGTCGGATTGGGCCATTCCGGAGGGAGGTAGAGTTCTTTGAAATTTTTCTTCTGTGGGATGAATGAATCAAAAAATTAAAAAGCCAGGACGCTTACAAATCGTTTCCGGAATTTAGATTTGTTGTCCTCGGGCTTGTCCTTCCCAGACTGCACCTTCACCCACCAATCTTTGAATTTGTGTAGTCCTCCTCCCCGGAAACTCGTCGAGAATTCCATCGCGACGACGGCCCGACACCAGGGAGGCCATCAACATAGTCGCTACCAAGCAGAAACGCGAGTCTGATCAGCGTGTCGCGATCCAAACCCAGTTCACGACTGAGATCGGAGAGCAGAAAACACTCGACCGTCTTTGACTGATTGAACATATTCTTGAAAACACGCTGGCTGCCAAAGAGGAACACATCTGAATCATCGGTAATCACGCCGTTCACAGGCCCAGATGAACGAGTTCCGCGCATTGAGCCTCAGCTTCCATCGGCGCAGTGATATACGGGATGCCAAACAAACTCAGCATCATCTGCTCGTCGGTCAGGCAGATTTCCTGATACAATGCGAAAAACTCACCATGATTTGGGATATCATCTGTTGGTTGATGTCTTCCGAATCGCGCATGGCCGCTTTCTTCTGCTGGTTCAAGACCTTGATCTCGTCGTCGATTTCTTGCTGAACCTCGTCCAAATCCTTGCCCTTGACTTGCGACATGAAGCGCGCGAATTCGCCCTCTTCCGCGTCTGGATCCATCTCCTGCGCGGCGTCCCAGTTCTCGGGAATTGGGGAAGAGACCCGCGGCTGCGGCTCCTCCACCCCAGCAATCGGCGACGGGGATCTCGACCAGCCGCTAACAGGTTCATCATCCTCTATGTCAACGTCGTTTCTTGGGGACGACGGTAGAGGTGTTGGCGGAGAGAACTTGTGAAGCGGGAACGGCTCGACAGAAACTCCTACAAGAGTTTGGGCATCGCTGAAAGGCGTCGACTCTACTTCGTCTACAGAGGAACGTTCGCTGAAATCAAGTGGGTCGGCTAGGTCGTTATCGAGAGCCGCCTCTACGACCGACGCTACAGGGGATCGAAACCTCGGAGGTGTAACGGGAGCGACTACAGCAACGCGCTCCTCCGAGGTTATTTCGTCCACCACAGTCAACTCAGCCTGCGCCGACGAAGCTACAACCGACGGCGAAACTGTGCTGGGTGTCGGAGGCTCGAACGTAGGTAATACTTCTTCCATATCGTCGTCAGAAGCATGAGAAGATTCCAAGGGGATTTGAGACGTGGAAGGAGGCGAAGGCGTCGATGGTTGCGGAGTCTGCGGCTGCAATAAGACGGGCTGCCCAAATACTGACGTCCCGACTCCTGTGGAGACAGCTTCTTTCACTCTGGGTTCTGAATGAAGCTTGGGTTGTAGTTCGACTGTAGGTCGTGATAGAGGCGAATGCGGTGCTCTCGGCGGAGCAGGCGAGGCGGTCTTCGCCTGGAGCAACACTGGCTCCCCAAACATAGAACTGGCAGGTTTGGCTGCAGATTTCGTCGGCGTCCGCACGAGCCCCGCGTTCGCTATAGATAACACGGTCTCCAGTCGGGTTTTGGGCACAAAAGCTTCCTCGTCGTAGTGGAAAACAGACTCTGATGGTCTGCGCGGCGTAGGGTCAACCAACTTGGAGGACGACGCAACGGCATTGGCCTGCACGGGCTGTCGCGCGCGCGCCACGTTAGGAACTTTGGCTTGATCGTAAAATTCCTGAATCGCCAGAGCGAGTTCCTCATCGTCGTCGTCAATTACAGGAACCGCGCCGTTGCCGTCAAGGATCGAGTCCTGGATCGCCTGGGCGAGCTGCCTGTCGTCGTCTTCGAGTAGAGGATCTCTGTCGTCCAAGTCAAAAAGCGGCAGCGGCCGCGAAACCGTATCCTTTCGGGCCGGTGCAGGCTTTTTCAGCGAATGGCGAAGAGCAAGGGCGGCAAGGTTCACGGATCTTTGATAGTCTTGCAAGTCAGCGTCCGGCACACCAGCTGAAGGTCTAGATATCGGCATTAGCGTTGCACTGCTGTCATAAACAGCATGCGAACATGGGAACCTCCTCCATATCCTCATCACTGTCGTCCTCAGGGATATCCACTTTCTCGTCCTGGTCAATTTCTATTGGCTTGTCTCGTGTCCCGTTGTCTCGAATGCCAAGGATCCATCCCCCTCGTGGCCCTCGTTCTTTATCAACAGATACTCCCTATTACGCTCGCTGGCAACACGGACAGGAATAGTGAGGTGGGCTTTTCCAATACTGTCGGTGGTGGAGAGGAGCTGCTGTGTCAAGGTGTTTCGCTGCTTTAAATTCAGGATCTGCTGCTTCGAAAAGTCGAGCGGTGTCGGAGCACTTCTAAGCATGTTCTGCAACCGAGCGTACGACGTTTGCCGTGATTTGAGTCGCAGGTCGCCTACTATTTCGTATTGGACTTCGGTTGGAAGTTCACGAAATGCAGGCGAGGTAACATCAAAGTCTTCAGGACGCATGTCATCTATAAAGTCCCGAAGCTCTTCCTCAGTAGCTAGACGCGGATCAGGGACTGCAGCGCGAGTTGCTTTTGCAACGGTGGCATCAAGGTCGATGTCCGGAAGGCGGTATGGATCATGATCGTGAAACTTTGGCTTGCTGGGGAGACCGACAGTTCCTTGCGCGGAGACGCCTTGGGCATCGATGAGTCAATGTCCTCGAGATATACAGTGTCATCGTCAAGTACAACAGGCCACTAGGCGCTTTGCCTTTGCCTTTAGTGGTTTGCTGTTCCACATGTTAGACCTTGATGTCTCAGAAAGAAGGGTACATACTGCCCACCCTTCGCCTGATTCACGGCCTCTCGCCTCATCTGAGCAGCCAGGAGCTTTTCAGCGAGTCTGGCATGGCTCGTGGCCGCTCCAGTCTTCTTCTTTCTCCGCTCGTTCTAGGTGCCATAAGCAGCTGGACTTTTAAATACAGATAAACCTACGAGGGTGTTTCTCTTCAAAGCGGGAGCACCTCCGTCAAAAACGAAGACAGGTTTGATTCCATAGAACAAGAGTTTCGCTATGCGCCGCAGAAATCCAAGGACGTGCGCATTCGAGAGTGCCCGCCCATCATTATCACGCATAGTAGCCTGGAATTGGTAGATCCAGATGCTCGAGTCAATGGCCATGATTTGGCCCTCCATAGTCTCGAGCCTAATCCAATTTCTCAGTCCGGAAAGCAAGAGAACGGCGAGAGAACGCCGACATTACGGGTCTTCCGACAGGCGCTAGGAGCTTCCACAAGGACTTGACACCCATGGCGGGCTGGACCCATGAAGGTGGAGGATGAAAAGCGCGTCCGGGGACGTGACTCGGGATCAATTACGTCCAATTGCTCGGCAAAATCCGATGCCTATAAAAGGACCCGATTACGACCAAAATACTTTGGACTCTTTTGACTCCCCCCACGACGACCTTACGCCTTCGTGTGGTTAAGCGGCCGCAGGTGGACGCGACTGATATGAACACGGCCGTGCCTTTTGTACTCGATGCAATTGTGCCGAGGTAATCTCTCCATTTCTTCCCTCGCCGAAAGTCGAACGTTTGCCAGGTTCTCCGCCATGCA